AGAAACTCCTTCTCAAGGAAGGTTCCATTCCGAGCAACAAAGATTTTGTTATCGGATGGATGATAGAACTCATACCCTCTAGTTTCCTTGGGGTATCCCACAAAAATTACTTTATCAGATTTAGGCTCCAACTTACTAGACGTCATGAGACGTTTTACATAAGCTTCACAGCCCCAAATCTTAAAGTACGAGAAACTCGATTTTCTCCCACGCCATAGTTCGTATGGTGTGCTCTCGACAGCTTTAGATGGAACTCTGTTGAGTGTGTGCGCTGCTGTTTTCAATGCATATCCCCAAAATGATTCTGGCAATGTTGTCAGACTAATCATGCTCCGAACCATGTCTAGCAAAGTCCGATTTCTCCTCTCAGACACTCCATTTATTTGAGGTGTCCCTGGAGGAGTGAGTTGGGATAAGATCCCATTCTCTTTCAGATAGTCATCGAACTCCAGGCTTAAGTACTCACCTCCTCGATCCGAGCGGAGGGTCTTAATACCTTTGCCTAATTTTTTTTCTACTTCGTTCTTGAATTCTTTGAATTTGTCAAAGCATTCCGATTTGTGTTTCATGATATACACATATCCATATCTACTAAGGTCGTCAGAAAATGTAACGAAGTAAGAATAACCACCTCTAGCTACAGTGCTAATTGGACCACACACATCGGAGTGTATGAGGCCCAATAAGTCACTCGCCCTTTCACCGTGACCAGTGAATGGAGCCTTTGTCATTTTACCAAGTAAACAAGATTTACATACATCATATGACTGGAAATCAAATGAATCAAGTACACCGGAACGATGTAACTTAGATATGTGTTTCTCGTTAATGTGGCCCAAACGACAATGCCAAAGGTACGCGAGATTCAAAGTGTTAGATTTGTTTCTCTTAACATCTACGTTATATATTGTGGTATCCATGTCAAGGACATAGAGACCGTTGGTCATTTTTGCACTTTCATAAAATATATCATTTCTAAAGACAGAAAGAGTTTTGTCTTTTACAACGAATGAAAATCCTGCTTTGTCAAGGTAGGATACAGAAATGATGTTTCTGCTCATACTAGGTACAAACAGACAATTATTCAAATGCAATATTAGACCACTAGGTTAGAATAAATTATAGGTTCCGACGGCCAATGCATAGACGAGTGCGCCATTGCCGACTTTTAGTTGTATCTCTCCCTCCGTCAATTGTCTACATTCATGCAAGTTCTGCATAGAAGTACAGATGTGAGAACCACATCCAGTATCCATCACCCAAGAGGTGATATCAGACATATTGACTTCGATAACGTAAATACCTGAGTTTTGGGGTTGACCGTGGTAAAGGTCTCTTAAGCATTGTATCATAGGACGCACTTCCATGTCTGCGTGGAGCCTTTGGAGCTCCGCGGTCATACTGGCCATAATGATACACTTTCCATCTCGCGCGTCGTCCTCAAACTTCTTGAAGGAAGTGAGTTCGGACGCACGAGCATTAGCATCAGGGGTCTTGGGAGGATCCGTTTCGAGGATGTAGAGTTTCCTCTCACAGTTAAGAACGATTCGGAGGTTCATCTCCCAGTCAAGAAAGTTGGTCCCGGATAACTTGTTATTTTCCAAGATGTAACGCAGGTTGAAAGGGTTGTTGTTGTTTGCCATCTACAGAAAATTTTGCAAACTAGTTTATCTATCATGTTTAATAATTAATTAGGCCTTTAATTAATTATCTCCCACTATTTTTAACAAATTAATAACCCTCGATATTGATTCGGAGATTTCCGGCGAAACCTCTAGTGGGCCAAGATCCATATTTCATTATCTTGCGTTCCGCTTGGGCGTTACTCCACAAGACAACTATTTAGGTAGGAACATAGTTCCAACTGATGAGCCGGGCTCTCAGCTCTTGGTCTGGTGTTGGGCGAACAATCGATTTACAGAACGGAATAATCGACTATCAGGTCACGCTGAACTCCTCAGTTGATCCAGCATAGTGTGACAATCGATTATCACATAAGTGGTAATCGATTATCAGACCCTGCGGATTCTTGAGTCAGAGCTGGTTCACTTGACAATCGATTGTCTCAGAGCAATAGTCGATTATCAGGTCTCTCTGAACTTAGGACTTTCCTGGTAAACCAACTTGACAATCGATTGTCATAGGGTGACAATCGACTATCACAGTCTGCAGGACTTTGGGGACAGAAGCTGCACAGCATGATAATCGATTATCAACAGCAGATAATCGATTATCAGCCAGTTCTGAACCCAGGACCATCATGTTGAACAAATCATAATCAAGCACATATGTAAGAATTGAATTTAACTATTTTTCTTTAATCAATGCAATCATTCCATCATGTTCGTTTCTAGACGGATGTTCTAGGTTTCCATCCTATGCATACCGCTGTAGGGAGGACTTCAAGCGCCTACTACAGTGGGCCCGTCCAGGAACCTTTGGGGACCAGCGGGTTTTCATCATGTTTGGCTTGTGTACGTACATAGTAGTCAGGTTACGGCTACTACCCGGTTCCGCTAGTCCACTCGCGATGTTTTCGTCGTGCCCGGCTCGTTACCGTTCGGGAACGATGACCGGAGTGCAGGGGTGATCCTGTCGAGTGAGACTAAGCCAGGGGTGTCCCTGATAGTTTAAGTCATGCACCAAGTCATATCATCATCATTATG